GGTGGGGCAGGGGAGTCGGGAATCATAACTGCATTTAGCAGAGAAGCCCCATGAAGGTGGTCCGGAATTCCGTGTGATGGGTCTCACTGCAGCTCCCAGGATAGATAAGGGTTGGGATTGGGACTCTCCTACGCGGCACCTGGTCAAGGTCATACATGAACCTCAAAGGAAAGATTGTGAAATGTCATGGACCCGAGGGGACAGGAGACGATGTGGATCCTGGACAGAAAAGGGACATTTATGCCCAACTGGATAAAATCCAAATAAAGTCTGGTGTTCGGCTGGTAGCATGGAAGCGATGTTGGTTTTTCTGTTGTGGGACTCGGACTGTGGCCACTTACACTGTTCACAATGGGGACAGCGGGGCTGGGGTGGGGGTGGGGAGGTAGACCAGAACTCCGTGTGCTACCTTCAGAATATTCTTTGCAAGTCTGAACTCCTTATCATGCTGAAGTGAAGAATCATGCATTACAAATAACCCAGACTAGATGCAGCTGAAGAGAACATTGCTAGACCGGAAGCTAAGACGTCACTCAGAATTTGGCATGAATAGGTGGAAGATACGGCAACAAGAAGGGTAAGAAGTACCTCGCCTTTATAGGTGGTGGCGTGGGGGACCATCTGAGAAGACATGATGCCGAGAACGTTCCAGAAGCCATGATATATAAATCCCAAAGCAGGATAATTACAAAGGGGACTCCTGCCGAGAGCACCTTGTGGACGTAAAACAGCCGGGGGTAGAAAGAGGCTTCCTAGCCCGAGAAATGGAGGAGAGCTAAGCCCTGGGAGCTCGGTCCTCTCCAGATCCATCCGCCTGGGGCTTGCTTTGTAGACCGTTCAAAACAAAGCAATGAGTCGGGAGAAAGCGTGTGAAGTATCGGGCACCATGACAGGCCAGAAGGAAGAAAGTTTCCCGGTAGCCAAGCCCCCTTGTCGAAAGGGCTATGTCGGAAAGCAGGAAGGCTGTTTGGAAAGATCGCTTGGCAAAGAAACGGGCGGGTCCACATCTGAAAAAATGTTACATGTGTGATTGGAGAGAGGAAAAAGAGAGAGAATTGGAGTGTTAAGGATCCTTAACCGGCTGGAGAAGGAGCCTCGGTGGCCCCAGGGTTAAGCGCTCAGCAGCCAACTGAAAGGCTCAACTCTCCCCGGGGGCTCCACGGCAGAGGGAGCTGGGGGGAGACGACCACCTGGGGCAGGCCAGCACCGGCAGACAGGTCTCCAGGAGTCACAGTGGCCGTGGCGGCACCAGCAACACAAGCCGGATCATTTCTAGTTGGGGTTTCCAGAGGATAGAGCAGCGGTTCTCAACCTGTGGGTCGAGACCCCTTTGGGGGTTAAGCAACCCTCTCACAGGGGTCGCCTAAGACATCAGAAAACAACTATTTCCGATGGTGTCAGGGACGGAGACCCCGCTCCTCGCTCCGTCTCCAGGCAGGTCCGCCACATGCAGATCCGCCCACATACCAGTGCCCGGCGTGAAGACTGTGACCCATGCTACACCATGCTTCAAGACAGCATTTCAGCGATTTGTCATTAGAAATAAATAGTTCACAGTATTGCATTACATCTTGTTTTTGTGAGTCACCACGATGCTTTCATGACGTTCAGTTTGTAACAAATGAAAATACGTCCTGCCTATCAGATATTGACATGACGACTCATCGCAGTAACATGACAGTGATGAAGTAGCAACGGAAATAATTTCGTGGTTGGGGGTCTCCACCACATGAGGAACTGTATGAAAGGGTCGCGGCCTGAGGAAGGTGGAGAACCACTGGGAAAGAGTATGTTGAGGATGTCTGTTAACAGACAAGAGGGCAAAATGGAATGGGAAACAATGACAACACAATAAAAGGAAGGAAAGAAGTGAGAAAAAAGACAATAGTGTGCTCCCAAAAGGGGGTTGATCGAACCTAAAACATTAGCAATAGATATCGACCCAAGTGGAATAGCAACGGTGAGAGTGGGAGCTTAAAGACCCAGCTCTGCTGCTGACGAAGACCTCCCCTCCAGGGCCACATGGGAGCGTTAAGCAAAAGGGCAGGAAGAGAAATTCAGGTGGCATCGTCCTACGCCTTGATAACAGGTCCCAGGTGGTAACAGAATCTCCTTCCCCGCCTCATTCCAACAAGCCCGGCACAGACCCCGGATCGCTGTCTCAGTTACCTAGTGCTATTAGAACAAGCACAAGTGGACAGCTGGCACAAACGGACGTTTATTGGCTCACTGTCTAGGAGGCTAGAAGTGCAAGCTCAAAGTGCTGGCTCCAGGGAAAGCTTTCTTGGTCAGTTCCGGAAGGGCCTTGTCTCTTGAGCTTCTGTTTCCTGGTTCTCTGGCGAGCTCTGTGTGTGTTGGCTTCTATCTTACCGCCACCACCACCACCCCACCCCACCGCTTGCTGGATCTTTTGATACAGGATCTCAAAAAAGAGTGATTTAAAATAGACTCTATTAATCTTATGTACATTAATCTCCAATCATTTTATTTACACAGCACAGACAACCCAGGCCTCCATGAGATTATCACCACAGCCTTGGGGCGAGGATTTCCAACACATTTTAGGGGTGGGGGAGGGCAGCATTCCATACGTAACATTCACCCCTCCCCAGAACCCAACTCACTGTCTCCAAGTTGATTCCCACTCATTGCAGCCCCTTAGCACAGTAGAACTGCCCCTGTGAGTTGCCGAGGCTGTAATTCCCTGTGGGAGCAGACAGCCTCATCTTTCTCCCAGGGAGCATCTGATGGATTTGAACCACCAATCTTGTGGTTAGCAACCCAACACACAATCTACTAGGCCACCAGAGCTCCTTTCCATCCCTCCTTTGTTGTTGTTGCTGATAGGTAACATCGAGTCAATGCTAACTCAGCCACAGCAGAAGGAAATGCCCTGTGTCCTGTATCCTCCTCGTAATTGTTCTGATGTTTGGGCTCTGTGTTGCCGCCGCCGTGCCCATCCGTCTTGGCGAGGGTCTTCCTCTTTCGCTGCCCCTCCACGTTCTTCTCCAGGGACATGAGACAAGTCTCACCATCCTGGTCTCTAAGGAGCATTCTGGCTGTACTTCTTCCAAGACGGATCTGTTTGTTCTTTGGCCAGTCCATGGTCCTTTCAGTGTTTTTCTCTAACACCGCAGTTTAAATTCATCGATTTTTCTTTGGTCTTCCTTAGTCAATGTTCAACTTTCACATACACATGGGGCAGTTGAACATACCATGGCTTGGGTCAGCTCATGCTAGTCCTCAAAGTAACATCCTTGCTTTTCAACACGTTAGAAAGGTTTTGTGGAGCAGATTTACACAATGCACCTTTGATCTCTTGACTGCTGCTTCCATGAGCGTTGATTGTGGATCCGAGCAAGACAAAATCCTTGATTGAAATCCTTCAATCTTTTCTCTGTGTATCACGATGTTACCTACTGGTCCAGGTGTGAGGATGTTGGTCTTCTCTACATTGAGCTGTCCTCCGTACTGAGGGCTGCAATCCTTGATCTTCATCAGCAAGCGTTTCAAGTCCTCCTCACTTTCAGCAAGCGAGGTGGTGTCGTGCACATATTGCAGAACAAGCTTTTCTCCAAATCTGATGCCCAATTCTTCTTCATATCATCTCTTACGATGTGCTCAGCATGCACACGGAACAAGTATGGTGGGAGGATACCACTGTTACCCACACTTTTCCTGATTTCAAACCATGCAGTAGTCAGTCCCTTGTTCTGTTTGCACAACTGCCTCTTGATCCGTGTACAGGTTCCACGAGAGCACAAGGAAGTGTCCGGGAATCCCCATCCTTCTCAAGGCTCTCCCTACTTTGTTATGGTCCACACAGTCAAATGCCTGTGCACAGTCAACAGAACGCAAGGAAACATCTTTCTGGAATGTTCTGTGTTCAGCCATGATAAACA